TTTTGAATCGTCCTAAAATTTGAAAGCATCGACTTCAACATTGTTTTAGGTACTTTACGCGCTTGGGTTGAATCAATCTCTTTGTGCTATCATAGATTATTTGGTTTGATTTTTGTAATTTTATAGCTCAACACAGTCGAAAGTCTCCCCAGTTTCCCACTCGTTTCCAAAATGGAGAATAACAGATGACCCTCCCGTCCTTCATAAACGTCGTATTTTCTTTCGATGTCCCCCACCCCCTCTCCAAAATGAAAGAAATACTCCAGCCCACATCCCCTCATTAAAAACGTACAGTCCCTAAAGTGTAAGTTTTATAACAGTTAATCTATAAAACCATATTAAATATCTACGTATCATACCAGTGTTGTTTCCTTGAACTGATCCTCCATCTTTTTGAAGTCTGTAATTTCCTTTAATTTCTCGCGGCATTTCCTGCATACGCCTTGCAATGAAATAAAAGTATTCTAATATAACCTAGTCATCCTTCAAAACTTCGTTAATTAATTTTCTTAGTTAGGGGGCATCTCAAAATTTCGACACTTTTCCCTAATGAATAACCCGCTGAAAAAAAGAATTACTGTGACGTCAGAAGTGTTGATTTTTGAAACATATTGAGCTCATTTCACAACGTTTTATTTTTCTTTCACATTTTAATGCTTTTTTAATAGTAATTTTTAAAACTACACTAACAGAAAATATCGACACTTCCAGTATAAAATATTTTTCGCATTTCCTCCTTACCCCCTCCCCCCTTTTCGCGGGTTATTCATATAGGGAAAAGTGTCGAAATTTTGAGACACCCCCTTACCTGATCCAGCTTGTAAAAAGACACCAGTGTCACGTAGCAGTAACTCCGATTGTAACTTTCCGAGCCCTCTATCTCCTTTTGGCCAACTTTTTTTTGTCTTTCCATGGTTAGACAGAACGGGTGGTATTCTGCATCTGGTGCTCGCTCCCCTCGTCCATCCAACCCCAAGTTTTGCACGGTGAAGAGGACATATCGCCATTGAAGTGATATTATCTGGCCTCGTGAAAATACCAGCACGACACAAGATCAAGTCCACCTCATTTTCTGGTCCAGAAAACGAGTACGATGCCATGTGCGTTGTGATGTCTTTCACGCACGAAAGTAAGGGGACTACTAGTACTTCTTGTTCTCTATTTCTAGTATCCGCTCCACATAGTCCTCCAACAATTGACTTTAACTAGCAGCAAACTTCCATATTTGTAACATGCACGTATTAAAGCAGTATAAGCGACTAGACGCCTTACAATCTCGCACCTATAGTATGCCTGTTCGCAGGTTGGGATAATCGAATGAAAATTTTCACAAAAGGAAATTGAAGAAAGTTGAAGAGGAAGTTACGTTCCCAAGATTGGTTTTGTTGTTATTTATTAAAAATATTAGATTCATTTACATTTTCGTTTTTTCATGCAACTGCTGAATAATATGAATTAAATAAATTTCAGTTAAAATCAGTGTTTGCAGCCGGCTTTGTGGTCAGAAAACATACTAACCTGATTAGTGATATGGATGTGTAATACTTGTGTCAAAACTGTTGACATTTGACAAGCCAGGAGGAATGAAATGTTTTGTATAAAAAAGACACAGTTTACTTTCAGAATTAAACATGTAAGTATCTTTATTCTTAATACTATTGATTTGATTTAAATGTTCCAAATATCAATTGAGACTCTTTTAAACGTACGATAAACACATGGATTGTGTCTTGTGTAAAGTGGCAGCACGGGTCAAAGGTGAGCAATATAAACCAACTTTGGGAAGCAATAGCGTAACGCACAGTCATTTGCCCAAAGTAATCTTTATATCATTCGAAAGAACGTTATTTAGACTTGAGATTACCAAAGTTTCAAGACATTTAAAGCTTAAGCACATTCACAATATGAATTTTTGTAAAACATACTTTTATCGACTCGATTTACCGATCTTGCAAATAAGATTATTATAAAAGGTCAGAATTGTTCTATTGACTCCAAAGTCGTACAATCTGTCGAGTGAGAATTGTACTAGTAGGTTGAGGTGGTTTTATGTGCATAGGATCAGTATTTTCTTGGCTTGAAGCCGCTAAAATGCAGTCAAATGTAGGGGCTAAAAATAGCATTTCCAACCGTCTTAGAAAAAATGCGAATTTCTCCTCTAAAAAGCAATATTTGATCAAATTAACTACACACAAATTCTTGGGATACTTAGGCCTATTATTCCTGTAAATATGAGCGAGAACGATTTTTGAAGGTTGACCAGACTTGTTTGATATTTACTGACAAGTCCTCTTAATAAGTGTTAAGCCAAAACTAACCGCTAACTGCCGGAAATGCTCTTCATGAAGAAAAGGCAAGAATTCTGGACCAACTTTCAGAAGATCTGACGAGAAATCGGGGTATTTCATCATAACACATTCCTTGCGAAGGTGGAAGTGGACGTTTTGTTGGGCTGTACTTCTTTGCAGCTGCCCGGTGATTCTATCTCTGTATTCTCGTTTGTCACGGCAGAATATGATCAAATCATCTGGACGTTGCTGGGGCGGGTTCTGAATCCCTCCATTGCACCCATAACATTTCGAAACTCTTGTTCCTTGAACCCACTTGAGAAAAAATAAGCTTTTCGGCAGAACAGCTGGTTGCTCCACAATACCTGTCATATTCTGTGTGGGCGCTGTATACATGGAAATTCTTGAGGATGATGGTGCGGTTGGATTCGTGGTTTGAAACTGGTTAAAGTTGTGAGAAGTTGTGGGTGAACCACAGCTGGGGAACGTTGGCGGAATATAAAAACCCGGTTGCTTCTGAGGGATAATGGTCCAAGGAGGTAATTTGTGATTTGCTGTAGTTTTCAACATGAAAAGACGCAGAAGGAACCGAGTGCTGATGTTGCGGACCTACAGTGAGTGGCACAGAGCATGAGGTAGGGTGAAATGTGTTTAATGGAAAAGTCGAGAGATGCCGCTGACTATTCTTTTCTGCGTTGATAGTTGGTTGCTTGCGCGGCGTCTCAGTTTCAACATCATCATCGCCAAACAAGTCAATATATTCATTGACCGTCGCTTTTTTTGCATTTGACCTTTTCCGTTTTGATGGTTTTCTCCCGGCATTTTTGGGCCCTCTATCCTCCACCATATCCATCATGACCGGCTGCTTCTTTCGTCGCTTAAACCACGCAATGTATTCGTTGAGTGTGCCTCTACACTGTGCTACGGCGAGAATGTGTTCGCAGATTTTTGTAGAAAAATTGATACACGTACGATTGCACGACAGACAACCACCTTTCCCGGGAGTAACGCTATGTACTTTATTTGACGCACCAGCAACTATATATGATCCATCATTGGCCCCAGGCTTTGGAATAACATTTCCATTTGATGCCAGCAAGTTGTTAGCTTTCTCGAACATGGCTTCAAGGATTGCCGATGGCACCGTTGATATTCCACTCTCTTTTGCGCTGATACCCATTGATGACTTGCGTCCCTCTTCTTCGCAGTTATCTTGATCTGAATTTGTAGAATCACTCTTATCACTCATACTCGCGTTCTTAAAATCCAACAACTTTTTCGTAATCTGAGCGTGACTTAGACGACTTCTCTCCATTTCGTCTATGGTGAAATGTTTAAAACCTGGTTGCACTCGATACACCCCTTTGCCAAATACTGCTCGATCTTCATTTCGTTGCTGGGTTTCGATGATATTCTTGACCTTATCAATGAACCTGTGTGGCTTTTCTGCATTGAAATGAAGTCCGTGCTTAATGATAAAGTTTGCCGATTCAGGGTCGTTATTTGTATAATGTTCGGGGGGGTCTCCAAGTCCCGCTTCTCTTCGGACAGGTTTCAGCATAGACTCTTTCATGTCACGTGCCTGATATAGAGAAAAAGTTGTTAAGTAAAACGTAAATGTTAACGGTTTACAGGCTCCAAAGTTAATTAGTACACAGTACACATTGGACTTAAATCGATCTAATAAGGTTAACTCATATATTTTTGAAAATGGGCACTAACTAAACAGCCGTTATAATTAGTTTCATCCAGAATTTTGCAGCACTCGAGAGTTTCCGCAGTTGGTGAATATAATAAACACAGAAGAAAAATTAACCTTTTCTTGCTGAAACCACTCGAAAAACGTGCGTTTGTAGGTTCTGTTCCCTTGCTCTTTCTCCCTCTCTTCCCAGGTGGTCTTCAACTCGTGAAGCTTTGAGTCAAATTCTTCCTATGTCTCGCAATCGACAAGTCCGAAGAACTTAACACATTCTTCCTGCTTGCCAAAAACCTCTGTTACGAAAAGCTTCTTAGTTTCTCCTTTGATTCCTCTGCCCGTTAGTTCTCGTTTGATGTTATCCTTGAAGTGCAAAAAACACCTTAGAAATAAGGCAAAGCGCATGTTCCGTTTAAAACCGTCAATCAGAGCTCTTTCGCCGTCGGTTCCAACAGCAAGGACACCTTCTAATTCTGGCTTGAGAGTTATTAGTGAATGCGCGAACTTAGAATATGTCTGCCAGTCTTTTCTTTGATGCATAAGTAAGGGTCCGACAAACACAGGCGCTTTTCCACTTTTAGGATTCACTAACTTTAGATTTCTGTAAGTGGTAACAGTAAGGCTGATGTTCCGGTCAAATATATTGAACGTCGGATCAATCCCATAGACACTGTACTCCGTCAGATGGGTACAAAATTGAGCAAGTTCATTTAGCTGTTGGTCATTTCCGATGACAACAAAGAAATCTGGGTGAATTGAGCATTCACGTATAAACACTGCGTCCTTCGAGAGTTCTTCGTCTCTTTTCGCGCGTTCTAAAAGTGTCCATATGCTATTCACATCAACACTCTTGTTGTTTTGGATCTTTTCACTTTCATTGCCTGGTAAAGGTAAAGAAGTACCTTGAGAAAACTGCTTTGCAGAGTGCCTGGCGTTATAAATATCACTTGGTCCTCTGGGCAGTTCACCAGTTGATCTTGCCAATGTAACATCTCCGGATGAGCGATATACTTCATCTAGAGCTTCCTTCGCCATCTTTCCTTTTTGAAAACGGAATTTTTCATTTTTTCTCTTGTGCTTGGTAGAAGTCGCGTGTATGGCGATTTGAATTTGGCATTTCCGTGAGGCTTTAGATTTTTCACTTTATGTTCCAAGCCAGAGAACAGATACTGAACAAACGTCAGCGGAACTTGATTATCACAACAATCTACAGAATATATAATGTTAACTTCAGAAAAAGCAGCAAGGCCCATTCACCCTGACAATCTTTACAGCGAAATTTTTCGCTAAGACGGTTGCAATCATTCATATTGCATGTGTTTTACATGAAAATATAATTTATGGAAAGGTCTTTTTTGCCACTTCCTAAATGATGAGGATTATGCGAATAACGAAAAACCACTTTAAGTATATCGACTTACCATATAATTTGGATATGGTTTTGCGGATAGTGTCATCAGAAGCATTCTTGTAGTATGTTCGTCTGAATGTGTATATACCTTCTGGTGTTGCTTGTGTTACACTTTTCTTATCAACTGGAACGATTTTTCTTGTACCACTCGAGTTATTCTGAACACGAAAATAATCTTTCGGAGATCCTTTATGTTCCCAGACACCCATGTCGTCACATTTTATATCATCCGCATGTGGGAAGGATTTCATATCCATTAAGAAGGAAACGTTATGGGAAACGTTTATTGGTGGTGATAGACACAATTGTTCTTGTTTGTATGAACCCAAAAGGATAGATACAATTTCTGCTTTTGTATATGCTGCTTTTTCCCACGAGAAAATCGGGGTCATAACATCTTCCTTGTATGGCTGGGTCGAAGGCTCTACACCATCAATTCGTAATCCTTTATCACTAAGGTGTATAGAACCAAATATTTAGAATCATATATCATATATGAGTAGAGTGCTTGATATACCGAAGTATAGAGCTAATAAGACGAAGATATAAAAATCATTATAATTATTAACTTTGGCGGGCTCGCGGGGTATTTTGCAGACTAATATATATAAGCCAATCAGAAGAATGACTGAAGTGTTTACCCATTGCATAATTTTTTTATACAAAAATTGTCCAATTAAAGCTAATATAATAGTAATAATCGATATACATAAATGCATACCTTGAAGATTCATCATCAATATCATCAATTTGTGAGTCATCTTCTTTATCAGAGTTATTCTTGTCAACTGGTTCTGCAACATATATGTTAATATAGATATAAGACATTAAGACATAACCGCCAAATTTAAAGAGACTCCATTCCTAAGGCAGTTATCGAAAGGTGGAAATTAACCGACAAACACTTCAACCATGAACTCACTTTAAATGCTATAAGATTTAGTTTAATCAATGTTATAAGATACCACACCTTTTATACATTCGTTGTTGCCATCTCCATTCGTTTTGTCTCCTTCATTGAGCTATTAGAATTCAGAGCGATATAATATGAAAACTAATAGTATTCCACCTAATATTATTGTTTATATTTTAAGGGTAAACATTTGATATTACTTACAAAACCTACATCTTCGAACACGGAACGTCCCTGTGCTTCCTGCGTGTTTTTACTATTTTCTTTTGAATCTTTTTCTTAAAAATAAACAAAATAAAATAAAACTTGCAATGACATAATAAAAATTTCGAGAAAATTAGAACTTACCCTCATCCGATGAAGTAGAGAGATCTTCTTCTTCTTTTATATTTTCCTTCGCTTTAACTTAAATTGAGATGAAGATAATGGAAGTAAATTAAGTTTAAAATATCGTGTGGCATGCAACTTGCCTAATAAAGATTACGATTGCTTAATTTGGAGATAAATTTACCTTTATCCACTGGGCCTGAAGTAATCATCAGCAGTCCTTCATATTTTCCGCTTTTTTTCGATTGTGCTAAATTAAAAATTACGTCGAAAAAACTACATTATAAAAACTTGGAGAGAAGATTAGAGAGCGCGAATTGGCAGATAAATTTACCTTCATCCAAAGGGCCTGGGATGGTCATGAGCAGGCCTTTGGCATTTTGACGATTCTTTTTCTGATTTGCTAAATTGAAAAATTTTAATGACGCCGAAAAGAATGTAAAAATGCTAATATTACATGCGCGACTTGGAGATCAATTTACCTTCATCCACTGGGGCGGTCATCAATATTCCTTCGGCATATTTATGACCCTTCGTTGATTTTGCTAAACCAAAAAATTAAAATGAAGCCTAGGAAAACTATATTTTCAACATGCGCAGAGATAAACTTACCTTTCTCCACTGGGGTGGTCATCGACGGTCCTTCGGCATAATTTTGGTCCTTTTGCGATTTTGCTAAAAATGTCAGAAAAGTATAGAAACTACACAAAAAAACATTCACATATCCAAACAGAAATATGGAAAAAAATAACAAGAAAACATCATCTTTGATAGGAGTAGATGCATACTTACATTCTTCTTTAAATGATCGCAATAGTTGCGTAGCAGATGGTCTGTCAGTAGGATTAAATTTGCAGCACTGTTCAAACATTTCTTCCATATTTTTCCATTGGGTGCTTCGAACCGTTTCGTATTTCAAATCGTGTTTCGGCAATACTTCGCGTTTTAATAGGTCTTGTAGCGCAGCATCCGTTACAATACCTGTAGTTTTTCATTTCAACAAAATAGTGATTATATTTCAGTTTGACGTACAAATAATTGCATACATATGGCAAGAGTTTTTGTGTCAGATTTTTGTGTATTTGTCTCTACCTGAAGGGCAAATGTAGCAATAGCTAATTTGCTGAATGCAACGTTCTATGTTTTACTACTAAAATCACGAATTATTCGATTAATAATTCGATTGTTCTATGTTTTTGAATTTTGTACGCAGTTGCAGTCAATAAGCTTACTAAATCCCATACGTCAGAAGACAAATGGATTCGACAAAATTAGTTCACGATTAGTCCCAAACTCCTATTAAACCGCCTGTGTACGAGGTTGGATAGACCTTCACGTCACAACATTATCGTCTTAAATTTAGAACCACCTTAAATGAGATGGATTTCAAGTTTTACTCTCACAAGCTATGTGCAAAGATGCACCCTTCTATAACCCGTGCATGAAAAATAACTTTTCCTTTTGACTAATAAGTATGGAAATAAGCCATAACGCGGAAACGACGCTCGCGGTCTTGGCCCCTCAGCCTCGTTAATCTCCTGTTATGGCTTATTTCCTCATTTATTGGTCAAAACAAAAAAATGTTTTTCATGCATGTGTTGAGGAAGGATGTTTTGCATATTTGCACGTGGCTCGTGAAAGTGAAACTTGAAATCCATTTCATTTAATTAAGGTGGTTCTAAATTTAAAACGTGATGTTAAAATGTTGTGACTTAATTACCGGAAAGGTCTATTGGCTGGATTAGTCCAGCAACCTTAGCGAGGATCGAAGAGCGAAATTAGTAGCCAACTCTTAACAGTGAATGCCATATTGCCATATAGTCTGATAGATAAATGCACCTTGTTTTATATTTCTTAATGCATAAATTGTTTTAAAGAAGGTGGCATGCAGTTCCATACTCTAAAATGGATTCTCTAAGATGGAGCCTTTTGTCAAAATTTATCAGGATAGTGAATTTGACCGGACGCCAACGGAATTTCAGGTGAGATTCCTCCTATTGGTTATATATTCGAATACAATAATTCTGTAACTGGAAGACTGAAAGTCAAGGAAGCTGTTTGTGTGTATCTTGAACTATCCTCAGAACTTAAATCATGTGTCGTCCGTCGTCTTCGCTTTTTTAAAAATTGTATGATCGGTAAAGACGGTATACGTAAAACTTTTTTTCGCTGTTAAAAACAATGCATTCATCAAAATAACTCCCAAACCAAACTTGACTAAAGGCATAAATTCATTTTAAGGCAAACTGCAATGAATGCACTATAAGATCCCACAAATATATGCCCTATTACTTGGAGGGTCATGAATGGCCTGGGCCACTCTAATTTCCAAAACTTGAAAAATATTGTCATTATTGAAATGTATATGTATTTTCTTCAGTCATAGTTTAACCAAATGTACACTGACTTTGAGTCAATTCAGTGAAGTACCTTAATTAGGGCACATGCTAGTTCCACTTAATATGCAAGTTTATGTCAGGTATGTCTTAATAATTAATACTCTTAATTTGTTTAAAATAACAAGAAAATAATTTTTATATCAATGAAAAAACCCTTATTTGAATGATATACCTTATTTCATTAATGTCATTAAACATGCCCAATTTCTTTAACATGTGATGGTTGATGTTGATATATAATTTTATTGATAATATAAAATGCAGGAAAAAAGACTTTTGTAGTGAGCAAGATTGGTCTAAACATCTTGATAAACAAATCATTTTCCTTTTTTGTCAATGATATAATGATTATGCTAGTATAACTTTGATGATTAAGTGGCCATGCAATGTACATTGCCTTTTCTCAAAGGCTGCCTGGTGTAAGCCAAATAAGAATTGTTTTCTGAATATAGAAAAAAAATTAAATACAGAACAATAATGTATTCAAATTGTTGAAGTTTTGGATTGGTTATGACATCATCATGATGGTACATTATCATACATATATTAATATATTAATATTTTTTCTTATAGAAATTTTGGGGATAAAAGTTAGTGCAATACTGCAATAAGGTTGATTTATTCATGTTAATAGCTAACGCAACTCTTAGTTGGTCTCCACTACATATCATCACATATTTTACCAATTATTTATGTGTACATAATTACCTGACTCCCCAAACTCAACAAAGTATGGTCCAGGGACATTTGGGTTCACCAAGGTGTACATGACCATTCCCAGGGACCATATATCAGTTTTCTTTAAATCTTCTTGACTTGCTTGAAAGATTTTGTTCAGGTGAATTTCAGGAGCCATGTAAGAGGGCGTCCCACGATTGATTGAATCTGTTTTAGATTGAAGAACTGTTTTGGTTTGCATGTTGTGAGATCTGCTCAGTCCAAAGTCTGGCAGTTAGCATATTATCGGACATTCAACATAGGCCTTTGACAAATCTAATTCATTTGTAAACTTCTCAACATAGTGTTGGTTGCTTACTAAAATATTCCCGAGTTTAAGATCCCTGTGAGCGATGTTTTTGCCGTGAAGGTATTCTAAACCAGCAACAATATCTTGGGCACAGACTGGCAGCAAGTGCGAAAAAGATTCAAAATCATAATCTTCATCCAGTAATCGAAGGAAATCTGCCAATGTACTGACACATTTTTCAGCCCCCAATGGGCTAAAACTAAAGGATATGTATTCCAGCATAATGCTACATGGCTCTTCGCAAAATCCCAGAAATTGTACGATGTTTTTGTGCCCCTTGATAGAATTAAGCAGTGCAGCTTCTTTCTTACAACGCGATTTCGAATCGATCGATTGTACCTTGACTTTTTTCGTCACAACCTTTTCCTCTTTCTCATTATATTCACCTAAGTAAACGGACCCAAAACTGCCACTACCAAGCTTCCTTTCCTTTCGAAACAAATTCCAGTCAAACGTTGGTAAAATGGCGGTGGTTTTCGTCTTAACGACCAGGTTTGGGATCTTGAAGGCAGATGCCATCTTGTAAACAAGGATCGACTTAAATTTTGGGGGGAATAACTTATCCCTAGCGGGGTATTATATTAGCTCGGTTTTCCTAGCAGGTTTTAAAAGATTACGTCCAAGTTAAAGAAAATTAATATCGTCAAACTCAACCAAAAAAAAAATATTCAGGCTACGACCGGGGGAATCGTTCTCGTGTTATGGCTTAGGCTATGTTCACACGAGCGTCGTTTTCAAATTTTCAAGCGTTTTCAAATGATCAAATCGTCCAAATCGTCGTTTTCGTTTCGGCTTTTCCCATTCATGGTTTTAAAGATTCCGGCTTTTCGCATTCCTTGTTTTAAAGATTCCGGCTTTTCCCATTCCTGGTTTTAAAGATTCCGGCTTTTCGCATTCCTTGTTTTAAAGATTCCGGCTTTTCTCATTCCTGGTTTTAAAGATTCCGGCTTTTCTCATTCCTTGTTTTAAAGATTCCGGCTTTTCGCATTCCTTGTTTTAAAGATTCCGGCTTTTCGCATTCCTTGTTTTAAAGATTCCGGCTTTTCTCATTCCTTGTTTTAAAGATTCCGGCTTTTCACATTCCTTGTTTTAAAGATTCCGGCTTTTCTCATTCCTGGTTTTAAAGATTCCGGCTTTTCTCATTCCTTGTTTTAAAGATTCCGGCTTTTCGCATTCCTTGTTTTAAAGATTCCGGCTTTTCGCATTCCTGGTTTTAAAGATTCCGGCTTTTCACATTCCTGGTTTTAAAGATTCCGGCTTTTCGCATTCCTTGTTTTAAAGATTCCGGCTTTTCTCATTCCTTGTTTTAAAGATTCCGGCTTTTCGCATTCCTGGTTTTAGCATTCCCCGTTCCCTTCCTCGATTCCCCGTTCCCTTCCTCGATTCCCCGTTCCTGGTTTTAAAGATAGCCGTACAGAATACTATTTTATTGCATACAATGATATGCTAAGAAAAATTAGATTTGAAATTTGTGATACCGCAAATTCTCTAATTGATAAACTCTACAAGTTTTCTAGTAAAGTAAAATGTCAAAATGTGTCATATGATGTTCAATTCTTGTTATGTTTGAGCATGTTATCAAATTCAGAGAGAAAGAAGGTAGTAAGAAAACATAAATCCTCTGCACAGAAAAGAACTATGTCAGAAAAACGTAAAAGTGATTATACAAATTTGGATCCTGCAGAAAAAAAACATCGTTCAGAGAAACAGAAAGAAAATTATAAATCCATGGATCCTTTAAAAAAGAAAGCCCTTCTTGATACAAATGCTGAAACATGCAAATCAATGAGTGATGTAAAAAAGAATGTTCTCCATCAAAAATTTGCGATGAGATATAGCTCAATGGAACCTGTAAAAAAGAATGTTCTTCTTCAAACAAATGCTAAGAAATATAGCTCAATGAATCCTGTAAAAAAGAATGTTCTCCTTCAAAAGCTATTAATGCCATGTAGAATCAGGTGAATTGGTTGACACATCACATGAAGAAACTGAAATAATCACATTTTTAAATTGTGTGCAATATACATTCACTCTATTTGTTTTTCTATGATTAAATCATGTACATACTGGGATGATTCCACAAGAGCTGCTATTGCAGAAAATGCTATGCTATTTTATGAATCCCTGAACATTGAAAATAAAATTACATATCTGGAAGACTTCCCACAAAGATTGTTTATTCTTGTTTATTCTGAGGTTGACATAGTATACACAGCAAGACAACAGGGTATTTTATCTGTTCCGAATAAACATGTACTTGTGAAGTCAATCATACAGAATACTGCAAACAACACTGGATTTTTGGTGTGGTTTTCTGATTTCTGTTTAGCTTGCATTTTCATCCATAAAAAATGTGGTACAGAATACTATTTTTTTGCATACAATGATATGCTAAGGAAAATTAGATTTGAAATTTGTGATACCGCAAATTGTCTAATTGATAAACTCTACGAGTTTTCTAGTAAAGTAAAATGTCAAAATGTGTCATATATGATGTTTAATTTTTGTTATGTTCGTGCATGTTATCAAATTCAGAGAGAAAGAAGGTAGTAAGAAAACATAAATCCTCTGCACAGAAAAGAACTATGTCAGAAAAACGTAAAAGTGACTATACAAATTTGGATCCTGCAGAAAAAAACATTGTTCAGAGAAACAGAAAGAAGATTATAAATCCATGGATCCTTTAAAAAAGAAAGCCCTTCTTGATACAAATGCTGAAACATGCAAATCAATGAGTGATGTAAAAAAGAATGTTCTCCATTAAAAATTTGCAATGAGATATAGCTCAATGGAACCTGTAAAAAGAATGTTCTTCTTCAAACAAATGCTAAGAAATATAGCTCAATGGATCCTGTAAAAAAGAATGTTCTCCTTCAAAAGCTTGTGAACAGATATCAGTCGATGGATCCCAGCAAAAAAGATGAACTATTGAAGAAGAAATCTGAGAACTGCAAGTCCAAGCAATCTAGCTTAGATAAGTGCATATCGACATTTCGGTCAAAGATAAAAGATGGTCCATTTTTTGTATGTTCAGTTTATCAGCGATTACTTTATAGAAAATCAGTTATTTTATTGCAAAAAGCGACATATGGCAATAGTATGGCAAATTTATTAACCAATGTTAAATCATTTGATCAAAAACAATACATTTGCAAAACTGCCACTCAAAAGTCTTAAAGGCTAAAATACCATGTCAAGCAATATGAAATGACATGCATGTTGACAATGTACCACATGAATTGCTTTGCTTAGAAAAGCTTGAAAATCTGTATTACCAGATTACCCAACTGCAATAATACAAAACAGTAAAAATTGCTCATTAGGTAGTAGTGAAGTTTATGACATTGCACCTGGTGAAAACAAACACCCTGTTTCATTAATGATGGATAAAAATTGTGAAGAGCTTGCATTTCCTGTATTGTTTCCAAAGAGTAAATTTGGCTTTGGACATGAACGGACGATTAAATTGTCACCGGTAAAATACTTCAATGCTAGACTTTTACATTATAGTGGAAGATTTGCCAACCAACCCAGAATACCTTTTCTTTGCCCAACTTATAACAGAACAAAAGAAGGTATCTGACAGTATTAACATAGCCTTAAAAAAAATACAAGGACAACCTGTCACTGCATCTGAAATAAAATCAAATGTAAATAAATTAAAAGGGTTGATTTGTCAAGACCAAGCCTATTTATTTTTTAAGACAGATTCCAGGTACACCACCATATTGGCAAACATTTATGTACAAAGTAGTAGCAATGGTGAAGCAATTAGGCATCCCAACATGGTTTATGACACTGTCATGTGCTGATCTTAGATGGCCTAAATTATTTCAAATTATTGCTAAAACACAAAGTAACGACATCACAGACGAGGAAATTGCGGCTTTATCTTACAATGAAAGATGTTCAATGTTGAATCTTAATCCTGTTCTTGTCGCAAAACATTTCCAGCTCAGAGTTGAAACTTTCTTCACTTAAGTTTTACTTTGTCCAAGTAACCCGATTGGGAAAATAATCTACTATGCACTTCGTATTGAGTTTCAAATGAGAGGATCATGCATTAATATGGACCTCTGGTAGCAAGTTAACCTCTGGTAGCAAGGAAGCTTATATACCATTAATTGATAATCATGTACAGGCCAACCTTCCAGATAAAATCATAGAACCAGAGTTAATGACTTAGTCAAGACTTAGCAAAAACACAACCATTCCAAAACTTGCAGAAAATACAAAAATGTTAGTTGCAGATTTAATTTTGGGCAATTCTTCACAAACAGAACAATTGTAGCAGAACCTCTCAGTGATGAATTAGATGAAGCAGTGAAAACTAACCTGCTTGAAAGACGAATGCAAATCTTAAGTCCAATCAAACAAAAAATTGATGAAATTCTTAACCGATCCAAAACAACTTATGATGCCTCATTAACCGACTCAGATATTTTTAAGTCTTTGGATATCACTGAAGACCAATATTACCGGGCATTATCCATTTCTCCTGATTCAGACTTTAAGCTACATCTTGAAAGACCTGTAGATGGCTGTTTTATTAATAATTATTTAGTTGCTGGTATCAGGGGGTTTGCAGCAAATGTAGACTTACAACCTGTATTCAATCATTATAAATGTATAACATATGTATGTTCATACTTTACTAAAGATGAGAGTGAATGTTCACAAGCTATAATGAATGCAGCAAGAGGCAAAAGCTGCCAATATGAACATCAGAAAAGGCTTGAAAAAAGTTGGTGCTGCCTTTCTATCCACCAGGGAAGTGAATGGACGTGGAAGCACGACGAGCAAGATGGCGATTTTTGAGGTCTCGGCAAATTGAATGTTAAAAGTCGAATATTCTCATAGTAGCTACCCATCCTTCATTGGTTTTTCGTTAGTTCTAATCTTTGTTAATTTCTTCAACTAAAAATGAATGAAAAAAAGCTTACAAACCTTATTGAAAAGCTCCTAAACAAGAAACTTAATCCTATTATGGAGACCCTCGATGAAGTAAAAAGTAAGATGGCCACGATCGATAAAATAGAGCAATCTCTTTCATTTTTGAGCGATAAGTACGATGAACTCTTTCTGAAGGTCACAAAATTGGAAGTCACAAGATTCTCATAACGAAATAGCTAAAGAAAATAAATTCCTTAAAGAATCACTTCATCGTTCTACTAACAACATTGAACTGATGAAACAGGAATTGAATAACCTAGAGCAGTATTCCTGGAGAGAATGCCTTGAAATTCGAGGTATACCGGTACAACCCGGTTAAGTGACGAATGAAATTATTCGGAAAGTTGGTGAAGTAATTGGCGTTGCAATTGAATCTAAGGATATTTCCGTAAGTCGTCGCCTGCCTGTCAATCAATAACAGAAACATGGAACCTACCATCATCACCAAATTTACTTGTTGCGATACTCGCGATGCATTGTACAAGGCAAGAAAGAACCTCAGTCAAATTACAACACGAGATATTGGTATGCTCAGATCTGCTGAACGTAAAATCTACATATCAGAAAGTTTAACCCTGGAAAACAAGAAATTATTTAACAAATGCCTCGAATTCAAGAAACAGCAACATTATAAGTTTATCTAGACGGTAAATGGAAAGATCTTTTTACGAAAAGATGATTCTAGCCCTTCAATTGGTATTTCAAATATCAGAGACATTCCAATGGCTGGATAAGTACCTCTTAGTGTGTTATTTATATTAAAAGTACAATAGATTTTAGCTGTTTATTAACTTCATGGCTGCTAATCTAAATTCTTTACCTTTATTGGAGTCTGATAATTCCTATAGCTCTAATTCAAATAGCAACTTATCTCACATTGATCCTGATGCAAATTTGCCTTCACAAACTAACTTTAAATACTATTCCACTGGATTAATGTCCAGTACCGATGCACGATGTCAAATGGACAAAATTATAGTCCATTGGTAATTTGATTGTCCACTCGATCCATTGGACATAAAAAATGTCCATCGGCCATTCGATTGTCCATTGGATCCAATGGTCATAGGAAGTGTCTATTGGTCATCAATGGGACCCATTAGACAGAGGAATTGTCGATTGGTCATTTGATTGTGCGTGGGCCTTTAAGTCAAATTTGATAAAACTACGCAATTGTTTAAGTCAGGCATAGTCAATGCGGGTGCTTGACACACGGCGAGACGAACGCGTCCAATGGCTCCATTGGATCCAATGGACAGGGGAAATGTCGATTGGTCATTTGATTGTCCATCGGATCCATTGGACAGAGGAAATGTCGATTGGTCATTTGATTGTGCGTTGGCCTTTAAGTCGAATTTGATATAACTACGCAATGTGTGAATTGTCTAAGTCAGGCATAGTCAATCGTGTGCCTGACGGCTGACACACGGCGAAACGAACGCGTCCAATGGCTCCATTGGATCCAATGGACAGGGGAAATGTCGATTGGTCATTTGATTGTCCATGGGATCCATTGGACAGAAGAAATGTCGATTGGTCATTTGATTGTGCGTTGGCCTTTAAGTCGAATTTGATATAACTACGCAATGTGTGAATTGTCTAAGTCAGGCATAGTCAATCGGGGTGCCTGACGGCTGACACACGGCGAAACGAACGCGTCCAATGGCTCCATTGGATCCAATAGACAGGGGAAATGTCGATTGGTCATTTGATTGTCCATCGGATCCATTGGACAGAGGAAATGTCGATTGGTCATTTGATTGTGCGTTGGCCTTTAAGTCGAATTTGATATAACTACGCAATGTGTGAATTGTCTAAGTCAGGCATAGTCAATCGGGTGCCTGACGGCTGACACACGGCGAGACGAACGCGTCCAATGGCTCCATTGGATCCAATGGACAGGGGAAATGTCGATTGGTCATTTGATTGTCCATGGGATCCATTGGACAGAAGAAATGTCGATTGGTCATTTGATTGTGCGTTGGCCTTTAAGTCGAATTTGATATAACTACGCAATGTGTGAATTGTCTAAGTCAGGCATAGTCAATCGGGGTGCCTGACGGCTGACACACGGCGAAACGAACGCGTCCAATGGCTCCATTGGATCCAATAGACAGGGGAAATGTCAATTGGTCATTTGATTGTCCATCGGATCCATTGGACAGAGGAAATGTCGATTGGTCATTTGATTGTGCGTTGGCCTTTAAGTCGAATTTGATATAACTACGCAATGTGTGAATTGTCTAAGTCAGGCATAGTCAATCGGGGTGCCTGACGGCTGACACACGGCGAAACGAACGCGTCCAATAGCTCCATTGGATCCAATGGACAGGGGAAATGTCGATTGGTCATTTGATTGTGCGTTGGCCTTTAAGTCGAATTTGATATAACAACGCAATGTGTGAATTGTCTAAGTCAGGCATAGTCAATCGGGGTGCCTGACGACTGACACACGGGCGAAACGAACGCGTCCAATGGCTCCATTGGATCCAATGGACAGGGGAAATGTCGATTGGTCATTTGATTGTCCAACGGATCCAATGGACAGAGGAAATGTCGATTGGTCATTTGATTGTGCGTTAGCCTTTAAGTCGAATTTGATGTAAGTACGCAATGTGTGAATTGTCTAAGTCAGTTTAGCATACATACTGTAATGCGTTTAAGTAATGTGTATTGTAATATTGTAATGTGTATTGTTATCTGTATTTGTGTCTGTCCATGCGTGGAAATGCAAATTAGTGTCCCCGCCTAGAAGTAGAGATATAAAATATATTTATGGTGTAGAAACTTGTGTGAGAGAGAATATAGACAAAAACTCTTCTTTTTACTGTTGGAGATAAGATATTGGGGCTCGTGGTGGCTTACATACTAAGCGCGGCGTAACATTTTGGTGGAAGCGGTGGGATTCTGATATATATATACGCTTAGTAGAAGAACTAAACTTTTCATGGGAACCGAGTCGCAAATCGACAATTTGGATATGGAAGGGTTGAGCAGCGGAGCTGGAGAAGAACGATCATTTCATGATGAAAGTTTCGAAGTTTTGTATGTGTTGATGAAGGAGCAAATGGAATTATTGAAGGAACAGAAGAGGATTCATCTTGAACAGGCGGATAGTGCCAATAGCCTTATTCAGAAGTTATCTAATCGACTAGAGAAACTTGAAAATAAACATTTTGTCGAGCGAGCGGATTTGGTGAAACTTGAACGCGGCCTAGCTGGTTATGAAATGGCCATGGGTGAAAACCGCGATGCTAACGAACAAGCTAGAGCTCAGTTTAAACAGATTGACGAAACATTCGATAATTTAAACGCCAAGATCGAGCGCCTTGAAGCCGCCGAAGAACATTTCGTAGCCGTTCATGCGAGACTGCTGGCAAGTGCACATCAGGAGTTGAAGGCGGAGATTATGAAAGAAATATCGAATGTTAATAATCTTGCGGAGCCAACACCGGAGCTTAAAGAAACCCCACGTGGAAGTTTTCAACCTTCGACTCCGGTTAGTCAATTTTTGCCAAACCTGAAACAAGAAAGACCATCATCGTTAGCTGCAAGAAACGCATCCCGTAGTCCCCCACAGGACCATAAACCAGTGCAGAGGCCAGCGCCGTATGATGGGTCTGCGACCTGGGAAGCTTATTGGGCCCAATTTAACATTATTGCGCAAATTAACGAATGGGATGAACACGAGAAAGCGGCGTATCTGGCAAGTAGTTTAAGGGGTCCTGCATTGGCTGTGCTGGGTAATCTACCTGAACATAATCGGCAAAACCTGAAAGTGTTGGTTTCCGCCCTAGAAAATCGATTTGGCACTAGTCACCAAACCGAGTTGTCGAGAGTAAAGTTTAAAACGCGAGTGAAACAACGGGATGAAAGCCTTCCAGAGCTATCGGGTGATATAGAACGGTTGTCGAAATTGGCATACCCGGACGCATCTTCTGATTTACAAGATGTGTTAGCCCGCGATCAATTTGTGGATAGCTTGACTGATGAAGATATGCGTTTAAAGTTAAAACAAGAACGACCAAAGACACTTCGGAGTGCCTTGGAATTGGCAATGGAATTGGAGTCCTTTCAACTAGCGGCGAAACAACAACGATACAGATTAGCACGTGAAGTTACACTGACGGATGGTAAGGCCGGAGGGGCACGTGGAGGAACGGAGAGCGAAAGGAAGACACCGTCAAAGGACTTGCCTAAAATGAGCGAAGGTAGTGGAGCGGAACAGATAACGCGTGTGGTACAACGTTTAGAGGAATCGATGGAAAAGTGTATCGCTAATGTAGTAGCGGCAATTAACAGACAACGCCGGCGCAACGAAGAACCACGTAGAGGAAGGCGTTGTTGGGGTTGTGGAAAATTGGGGCACTTTCGAGATGATTGTCCAGCCGAGTCAGCAGGTGTCGGAAGACAAAGCGGAAATACCGAAGATGATGCGGGAAACGGAGAATAGCTGGGTTTACAGGGGGAAATTCAGCTATGAACGATAAAAATGAAACCCCTAACATTATTTTTAAAACTGGTTTGATTAGTGGATTTTTGGATAGCCTTGTTGTGCCTGGAACAATTGAAGGTTTTCTGTGTGAAATGATTATTGATACCGGTTCAAATATTACCATTGTTCGACCAGATATATTAAGGAAGATTTCGAAGGAGAAGACTGTAGAAATCAAGCCAGTGGAAAGTTGTTTGCGAACAGTGACAGGTGATACAACTGCAGTGCGGGGACGAGGTTGCATACATATTCAAATCGGTGATCTAAAAACAGCCCAAGAGGTGTGGATTGCGGAGATAGAAAACGAGTGTATTTTGGGTTTAGATTTCTTGGGACCGAATGGTTGCATAGTCAATGTGGCGGATAGGTGTCTACGGGTTGGCATGCAGGAAATTCAGTTGCAACCTTTGGTGAACAAGGAACAGCCAAGATGTCGGAGGGTGTGGACAGCAGAAACTACGACGATCCCGGCGCGAAGCGAAGCGTTGATTTCTGGCCAGTTGCAGGATGGTGAATATGGGGAGTCGGTGAGAGACATTTGGGGAAGTTTAGAACCAGCAAAGAACCGAGGGCTACCAAGTGAAGTGATTTTAGCCAGGACGGTAGTAGATGTGCGCAAGCCAACGTTTGTCGTTAGAGTAATGAATTTGTCCGACGAGGAAAGGGTTATTCGTAAAGGTACGGAAGTTGCAAGCTGTGAGTCGGTTGAATGTGTAACTTTATCAGGAGAGAGCGAAGTCAGCGAAAGGCAGCAGGTTTCGGAATTTCATCAAACATTGCGGGAACTTTATGAGCGAAGTGCAGAGGGCCTTGACGGCTCCCAAAGAAAGAAACTTTACGCGCTGCTGGCTGATTTCGAAGATATATTTTCTAAGGGTTCACACGACATTGGTAGAACGTCTCTTACGTCTCACAAGATCGTGTAATAGCATATTTTAGTCGCGGCTTAAGCCGAGCAGAAAAGAACTATTGTGTCACTCGGAAGGAATTACTGGCCGTTGTGAAGGCAGTGGAAAAGTTCCATTATCATTTGAATGGACGGGAGTTTGTGGTTAGAACTGATCATTCCTCGTTAAGATGGCTGTTAAACTTTCGTCAGCCAGAAGGCCAAATCGCACGGTGGCTTCAGAAGATGCAAGAGTACGACTTTACCATCGTTCATCGTCCTGGGAGAGCTAATCTGAACGCTGATGCGTTGTCACGTCGGCCCTGTTTTACGTCGGACTGCAAATACTGTGAAAAATTGGAGGAAAAAGAAATGTTGAACGTTGAGAATTTCCTGTTGGCAAATGAGAAATCGAATGTTAAAATTACAAGTAGCGTAGCTGCCGAAGAAGATAAATCTCTCTTAAAGATTTGGACACGGGAAGAACTTATCTCATTACAAAACGAAGATCCTGACATAAGTCCTATTATTCATTGGAAAACTGGACAGATTCGACCAGCCTGGAGTGACGCCGCTGCCTATAGCGCAACCACCAAGTCCTACTGGGCACAATGGGATTCGTTAGAAATTGTTAATGGGATTCTTCATCGTCGTTGGGAAAACGCAGATGGAAACGGAGTGAAGAACTTGATTGTGGCTCCAAAAGCAATTCAAAGGGAAATATTACAACATCTACATAGCTCCCCGATAGCAGGACATTTCGGAATTAGGAAAACAAAGGCTCGTGTACGGGAAAGATTCTATTGGTTAAACTCGGGAAAATTTGTGGAAAACTATTGCAAGAAATGCGATGTTTGTTCGTCTCGGAAGGGTGAACAGAGAAAGGCCAGAGCCCCCCTAAAGCTATATCAAGTTGGTTGCCCTATGGAGCGGGTCGCCGTTGATGTCTTAGGGCCACTTCCAAAAACAAACGACGGAAACCAGTACATTATTATAGTACAGGACTATTTCACAAAATGGCCGGAGGCATTTCCAGTTCCCGATCAAAAGGCATCTACCGTAGCAGACATACTTGTTAATCAGTTCTTTACAAGATTTGGAGTACCTCAAGAACTACATTCGGACCAAGGAAGGAACTTTGAGTCTCAACTGTTCCAAGATGTATGTAAATTATTGGGGATTTATAAGACACGGACAACACCATATCACCCTCAATCAGATGGGATGGTTGAACGATTTAACAGGACACTCGAGAACGGATTAGCAATGTTTGTTAACAGCAACCACTCAGACTGGGATAAACACATCCCATTCCTGTTAATGGCGTACCGTAGTGCAATCCATGAGACCACCAAAGTTACTCCTGCTCAAATGATGTTCGGCCGCGAATTAAAGCTACCTATAGATCTTTGGCAAGAACGTACGTGTGATCATGATGACAGATTAAAAGGGGACGACTATGTTGAAATGTTAGAAAATCGTCTGGGAGAAGTGCACAATTTTGCACGAGGCAATATCGAGATCAATATACGTGGGATGAAGCAAAAGTATGACATGAAGTCAATGAACAAGAGATATACGGTCGGGAGTGGAGTCTGGTTACACACAGTGCAACGCAAGAAAGGACGGTCACCTAAGTTAAACAGGAAGTGGGACGGGCCATATGTGGTAGTTAACCACTTAAACGACGTTATTGTCCGAATCCAAAAAGGCCCAAGAACGAAAGCCAAGGTTGTTCATGTCAACAATATAAAGGAATATAAGGGTGAAATAGAATTCGATTGGTTCAAAACAGCTCAGCATAAGGATACGGGGGAATCAACAAGTGAATTGAGTGTGACAAATATTGACCAGGAACAGGAACTGCGTCGCAGTAAAAGAAATCGCAATCCGCCAAGGCGGTTGATAGACGAGATATAGTATACAGTGCATGCTTGTCAGGGACTGACAAACTGAGGACGGGGAAATGTAATGCGTTTAAGTAATGTGTATTGTAATATTGTAATGTGTATTGTTATCTGTATTTGTGTCTGTCCATGCGTGGAAATGCAAATTAGTGTCCCCGCCTAGAAGTAGAGATATAAAATATATTTATGGTGTAGAAACTTGTGTGAGAGAGAATATAGACAAAAACTCTTCTTTTTACTGTTGGAGATAAGATATTGGGGCTCGTGGTGGCTTACATACTAAGCGCGGCGTAACAATACATTTTCCAATTTGGAAGGAATCAAAGACCAGTCGATGTCAATGTCATAGCAGTGCTGTAAATTGATTTCGACGTTCTCGTCGCTAGAGTTGCTCATTTCGATCTTATCACAGTAGTTTTAACTTTATAGTTTATATTGTGAGAATATGGAATTGAGTGAAAACAAACGCGGCCTTCTGCATAGAATGTATATGCCGCATACACAAAGAATTGGCAACGTGTGCAGCCAATAAAAAAAAAGTAAAATGACAACTTGAAGTATCATGTATATACGATACATGTTGTGACAAAGTGGCACGTTTTGTTTCTGAACTGACAATCTGACATCATACAGTGCCGGAATTGTCTTAATAAATGCGGATACCTGACACACCGCGAGACGGCCGCGTCAAATGAAATGACGCCACGAATTTGATACAACTACTCACATCTTATAGACTTTATTTATACAGTGTTAATTTTTGTGTGTGTGTGTAGTGAGATATATTATGAGATATATTCATAGGGTATTTTAACTTTAGTGATATTCTTGCGGGTATATATTATACATATTTTGGCGATATTTTGCGTGTTTTAATATAGAAACAGTATGTATATTCACATCTTTATTGTCATATATTTTTTGCCTGTTTTATTGAGAAGAATGAAGGGACAGAACGGAATTTTATAGGAGCGAGTACATGTATGTACCTATAGTATATATAATGCAGGTTTTTTAAGAACGAAGCATTCAGGTCATAGTATATATGTGGAGTTTTCAGTTAAGAACGAGGCATATATACATGTGTCATAGTATTTATATAATGCGGCGGAGTTTTTTTAAGAACGAGGCATACATGTGCCACAGTATTTAAAATGCTGGCTTTTTGAGAACAAGGCATATGAGATTATGTGTATAGCCTATTAGCACGAGTTTTTTTAAGAACGAAGCATTCAGGTCATAGTATATATGTGGAGTTTTCAGTTAAGAACGAGGCATATATACATGTGTCATAGTATTTATATAATGCGGCGGAGTTTTTTTAAGAACGAGGCATACATGTGCCACAGTATTTAAAATGCGGGCTTTTTGAGAACAAGGCATATCAGATTATGTGTATAGCCTATTAGCACGAGTTTTTTTAAGAACGAAGCATTCAGGTCATAGTATATATGTGGAGTTTTTGAGTTAAGAACGAGGCATATACATGTGTCATAGTATTTATATAATGCGGCGGAGTTTTTTTAAGAACGAGGCATACATGTGTCACAGTATTTAAAATGCGGGCTTTTTGAGAACAAGGCATATGAGATTATGGGTATAGCCTATTAGCACGAGTTTTTTTAAGAACGAAGCATAAAAGTGACGAGGCATATACATGCATATATGAAATTATACGGACATAGAATATGTCCAATGGACATTTGTAAATGTCCATTAGACAATTGCTTGTCCATTGGGTCCATTGGACCATTGGACAATATAAGCAAAACGCATTGAAGCAGCATGCGGTTATTACATATTCAGTTTAGCTTAATTTCTCATTTCCGTTGGACATTCATGATGTCGATTGGACATTCAGTTTGTCCAATGGATCCGATGGACATGCTAAAACCCGGCGGACATGTAATTGTCCATTGGATCTATTGGACATTGGAAATGTCCATTTGACCACTGGACATGTTGCATAGGTATTGGACATTTATGTTCCACTGAGGATTTTCTCCATAGCAACCAAATCCAAAGCTGTATATCCAGTGGAAGCTTTTCTGTTCTTCATTCTAATATAAGAAGCATTGCTGCTAATTTTGATAGCTTTGTACATATGCTTGATGAGCTAAATCACTCATTTTCTTTAATTGGACTGACTGAAACCAAACTTAATACTTCCAGAGATGCACTAATTAATCAACATTTATCTGGATATACATTTATTTCACAACCTAGCTTATCAAATGCAGGTGGCACTGGCTTCTTTATTAACAATAATCTGTGTTTTTCACTAAGATCAGACCTGTCTTGTTCATCAATTCAATTCGAATCATTATGGATCGAGATAAAGAGTAATTTACAACATAACCTTATTTGTGGTGTGATATATAGACACCCCCAAAGTGATCTTGAAGCATTTATGGTGTTTTTGAACAATGTTTAAAATAAAATAAGCAAAGAAAACAAATATTGCATAATCATGGGAGATTTTAATCTAAATCTTCTAAATTATGAATCTCACATAGGTACAGATGAATTTGTAAATTCCATGGGATCTTATTTCTTTCATCCTCACATACTACAACCTACACGAATAGCCGATCACTCAGCTACTCTAATTGACAACATATTTTTCAACTCTATCAATCACCTTACTGTTAGCGGTAATCTAATATATGATCTAACTGATCATCTTCCTAATTTTTTAACTATTAATAACTTCACAGCATTACCTAAGAACTTTAAATTCTTTCGTAGGGACTATTCCAAATATGATGAGGCATTATTGCTTGAAGAAATTCAGTCTACTGACTGGAATATGGAAATATCTAATAATAGCAGGCTAGATTGCAGAATACCCGTCCACTAGCTGGAAATCACTGCGTAGCCTTATTTTTAGTGGCTACTGGCTACGCAGTCGAATCTAAAACTATGCCGGATCAAATTACTGCGTATTATTGCTAGGTAGATATCATTGTGCAAATTACTGCATATAATTGCTAGGTAGATATCATTGTGGCTACGCAGTAATTCCACTAGCCAGGCATCAATACTTAGCCGGTATATTTTAAGCGGCTACTCGCATATGCAGTCCAATCTAAAACTATAATCAATTTACACTTCACAGTATGTCAATGCATATTTCCTGTATATTTAGTACTACTGCCTACTAAAACTATGATCAAATCTATATACTCTACTACCTCTATACAGTTTATTGCGTAGCCGTATATATATATTTATAATAGTAGCATCTAAATGACCCAATTCAATATTGTTGTAATTCAATATCATAGCACAGCCATGTTATTTACGAAGGCATGTCTACACAGTCATCTCATCTGAGAATCTCACCTATGACCTATAGCAACAAACTTCTATAATTCTTTTTACTCCTTTTAAATAACTATACAAACGAACACTTTAATGAGTATACGATAGGAATTAATGTATTTAGTGAAAATTTCAATTTAAATCTAAACAAGATGTATAAAAATTCCATGCATATAAATTTACAAATTACAGTTATTGACAGACTTCAAAATATACTTCAAAAAATCTTTTTCAAAAATTAAATAAATATATAAATTGTTGTATATATGCAAAATTTACATTAGCTTAGCATGCCTACTAAAAGTCACCATATATTTTTTTAATATCATTAAGAAATATAGAAAACAAGTCTTTACCCTTATTTTCATATCTCCAAAGAAATTCTGCCAGGTAAGATGAGAATGCAAGCTTTCGCACACCAAAACATGGTAGTTTGCTTTTTGCTTGTCTCCAATGACCCTCTATTTTGTTTGTATGAAAACCATCTTCGTTCACAAACTCTTTTGAATGATTCACTAAACGGTGCTGATAACCGTTTATTTCAAGTTTCGAATACGCTTTCCAGCAGTCAGAAACTATGGTGGTTTCTTTAGCAACATGTTTCTTAATTAAAGGTAAAAGCGTTGCTTCGTCTCTTTTGTCAACTGCTACCATAAAGCTTCTTCGAGATTCTTCTTCAATGCCACCAAACACCCATTGTCCTTCAACACGATGACCACAATGATATTTCCTCTTGCCAAACTTGCTTTCGTCAATCTGAACAGTTTTCCCAGGACCACCGATCTGCTCTTCTCGCTCAATAAGAGTTACTTCGCATGTTTCGCGACAGAACGAGTCCCAGTCTACTGCTGTATTAGAAGCAATGTTAAGTTCATGACGTATTTCATTTTGTTTCATATCACGGCACCACCAGTACGTGAATTTCAACACTTCATCTAATGTCATGTTGCTATTTTCGAACCAGCTGTCTTTTCTTATTGACATTTCAACCTTGTGCCGCCTTTCCATTCTCTTGACGCCAACATTCCCATTTGAAACCATCTGAACGATCATCACATTGTACCAGTTTCATTGATTTCTTGCAATAACCGCAAAGTCGCTCTCTTGCAATTAATCCCTCATCCATGCACCAGCGTATTGTTTTCTTTTCCTTCTAGTACCTCGAACTTTAATCTATCATACGTCCATGCCTTAAACCTTTCCTCACGACTGTAACTTCCATTCTCATCAAAATCTTGTTTCCCACACTGGGTTCCAACACTTGTTAAATTAAACAACGAAATTTCCGATTGCGTCTCGGCGCTTCTCTTAGCTTTTTTCTCGAATTTAACGCACACCTGAACACCTTTTTCCATGTTGGTGCACGCGAACTTGGGTTAGTGTTTATGAATAAACACGGCAAAGGTATACTGTGAAATCCCCCTCGCTATTACTCCTATTACGCTTGCATTTCCGTTCTACATTCTCACATGCTTTGTCATGCGTCTCATAAATCTTTTTACTATACTTCGCTTAATGTGCAAATCAAACATGATATTGACTCACTGCAATTGTCCATCACATATAGTAAGTAATGTAGTTTCCTACTTTCAGACTTTGCATATGCACATAGATATATTTTTTTTCCATTTGCAATAAATCACCTACTAACATATCACAATAATGTCTGACAATAATGTCATAATCAACATTTCAGGTGCAATCATGAAAACGTTTATTTACGCTCTACACCTTTCTAATTTTTCTAAATGTATTTTAACATACAATTATTTTTCCATTTTTTCCCAAACCCAACCTAAAACACACAAAAACAAAATCATTCAGCAAAATATTTCACTTCAAGTTTATTTCCGCTCACGCTATTCAATACTCTTATTGCGTCAAACCTCGCTTTTCCGCTAGAAATTCCACGTTGTCGCACTGTTTGGTAATTCTATACTCTCATGGCATGTATCACACAGTTCACACAAACAACACACACGCTGTATTCATTCTTTAATGCTCAAAGCTTGATCAAGTCTTAACTTATCGTTATGGCCGCGAAAAATCCTCTTACAAAAATAGCAAGGCAACACGAGACAACGTGGACGCAGCTGCACAAAAGACTATCCCAGATGACTCTCCAGTTTGATGAGATTTTTCCTGAAGAGATTGCAACTTTTCTTCGACACAAGGCCACTTCACTCAACAGTTCCATGGGGTATCTTACGCCTGCCTTACTTTCCACCACAGCATTCCTCTCTGCTAATAATGGTTGTAAAGTTCATACCATAACCCACGAGCAACCCCTTAATCTCTACACCATATTTGTTGGTTATCCTGGCACTGGCAAATCCTCGGCCATATATCACGGATGTTTGGACTTGCTGCAGTCAATTATTGAAAGCGACCAATGCAACTTTTTCATCGATAAAACTACATCATCCGGTCTTGTCAAACACATTGGAAATAACCACTCGGCCTTTCTAGTTTCACCAGAGGTTTACGACGTTCTAAACAAACTCCTAAAGAACGATGACGAAAACGCCAGCGGTGACGCCATGCTGCTTTGCAAGCTTTTTTCCGGAGAGGCCAGTTCCTACGCTTATTCTACCGAACGAACAAGAGAAATTCCAAGCAATACTCCATTCTCTATTCTCGGTTGTACCCAAATGCCAAATGTTGCAAAATTAATCGGCAGAATGGACCAAGGTCAAGGTTTGATCGACCGTTTTCTTGTGTCTGTCCCTATGGCACTTTGTCCAACATCTACAGAGATTGACAACGCGAGAGACTTTCTCAGCACAGAACCCGATGATGCTCTTAAACAAGTATTCCGTTACATTAATCGATGTCAACAGAACTCACCGACAACGTATGTCTTCGACGAAGATGCCAAGCAATTTCTTCGAAATAGGAAAGATGCTTTTATCGCTGAAATGAACGACGCAATTCAGGACGGTTTGCTTATTCCACCAAAATCCAAACAGTTAGATCTAATGCCACGTGTTGCAGCAGCACTCCACGTCTTCACTTGTGCGTTTTCCAACGTATTTGCTGGACATGAGGACGACCCATTACCCTCAACGATAACTTTGGATACTCTACAGCAGGCTGTAAACTACGTATCTCACCTTGAGGCACAAAAACATATGTTATGTCAGGTAACGTATAATATTTAGTGTGTAAGCGTTTTCCACTTGTCTATAAATTAATGCGATGAGCCTTCTTTGTGTATAATATTCACGAAATTTTAATAACGACTTTTTGGGTTCTTTAGTTCATCAAATCGATAACTCATGACATCTGTGATGCCCCAAGACCCCAACCAACAATTGCCAACATCAAAACAGCTGTTTTGCTATTCCCTGGGCCAATTGTGACCTACCGCGGTTTTCGGCAGTGTGCTCCTCGACTCGTTCGTAGCTCCACGAAAACAGAGTATGATGAAGCTGTTCAATAACTCAAGCCACATTTGGGCTCCATTGTCGCCAGAAGTGCACAAGCCACGAATGTGTTCATCAAAAAACCACCTACTTCATTCACATCATGGCCGCACTCCGCTCTTTGTGAACTTACGGCCTACACAGGAAAATTCAACTTGCCAATTCATAAGTCTACCACCAAACACATTAAAACATTTCTTTTAAATCAGCAATTCATAACTCAGGAACAACTTAATTTATAAAAAGGAAAACTTGTAAATTGTAACATAATTTCAGTCTATTCCATGTGCAACTATTTTCTACTTGATTTACAATGATTTATGATAAAAACGACTGCTTGTAGTTCGGATTTAATACGTAATTTTTCAATTTCTCGCTATAGCCCTAACCCTAACCCACTGCGTAGCCAGTAGCCAGTAGCCACTTCAACATATATGTTTCCAATACTATTACGTAATTATTCAATTTCTCGTCCTTTAAAAACTAACTCACTGCGTAGCCAGTAGCCACTTCAACATATATGTTTCCATACTATTACGTAATTATTCAATTTCTCTCTTTAAAAACTAACTCACTGCGTAGCCAGTAGCCACTTCAACATATATGTTTCCAATACTATTACGTAATTATTCAATTTCTCGTTCTTTAAAAACTAACTCACTGCGTAGCCAGTAGCCACTTCAACATATATGTTTCCAATACTATTACGTAATTATTCAATTTCTCGTTCTTTAAAAACTAACTCACTGCGTAGCCAGTAGCCACTGAGATATTTATGTTTTGTACGTGGACGGGTATTCTGCAATCGCTCCTAATAGCAACCCAACAGAAGTGTTCGATAATTTTCACTCCGAACTGCCTGATTAAAAAAGATCTTAAACACCTTGATAAACTCTGGATAACCCCAGGGATTAGGAAATCTATAAAACTTAAGAACAATTACTATAAAAAATATCTCAAAACAAAATCACTGTATTTTCAAAATAAATTTAAATCTTATAGGAACAAAATAAATCACCAATTAAAAATTAGTAAAATTAATTATTATAATCAATATTTCACTATCAATAGATCGCATTATAAAAATATATGGAAAGCAATTAAACATATAATTACCCTTAAAACAAAAAACAGAGGCTTGCCCTCAAAGTTACTTATTAATGGTGAGGAAGTAACTGATAGTAAATCAATTGCTGACAGTTTTAATGATTTTTTTTGCCAATATTGGAAATGAATTAACCAGAGATGTCCCTTGCATTGATACAAACCCAATGTCATTTTTAACTTCTTGCCAAGTAAATAGTCTATTTTTGAATCCAACTACCTGTAGCGAAGTTGAAGAAATAATTAATAATTTCAATTCCTCAAAAGCCACTGGCCCGTACAGCATACCAGTAAAAATTCTGAAGCTACTTGGGAGGTTTATCTTGGAGCCTTTGGAATCTATTTTTAATTATTGTCTTTCAACCGACACTGTACCTAACCAATTCAAGCTGGCCAGCGTTATCCCTGTTCATAAAAAAGGCTCACAGTTAATTTTAGGCAATTATCGCCCCATATCTTTGTTATCTATTTTCAATCAGATTCTTGAAAAAATTGTGTCTAAACGTTTGTCAAACGTTATTGAAAAATATGATATATTATATACCAAACAGTTTGGATTTCGTTCAAATCATTCTACTTTGCATGCAATTTTGTCAGTAGTCGACCAGGTTCAGAAAGCTATTGATGATGGTAAATACTCATGTGCCGTATTCCTTGACCTGTCATAAGCATTTGATACAGTTAACCATCACATTTTATTACAAAAACTTGAATAGTATGGTGTGCGGGGCGGGGCGCTAAAATGGTTTCAATCTTATCTAGAGAACCGGCAACAGTTTGTGACAATTGGCAATATTAGATCATCTCTGATGGCCTATTACATGTGGTGTACCCCAAGGCTCCGTCCTTGGCCCACTCCTATTTTTAATCTATATAAATGATTTTTGTAACTCTTCCAGTATTCTAGATATTTATCTTTTTGCTGACGATTCAAGTTTATTCTTAGCCTATATAAAAGCCTATCAATTCTTGAATCTACTATCAATAGCCAACTTGAGCTTATAAATAAATGGCTTTGTGCAAACAAATTATCTCTTAACATTGATAAGACAAACTTTGTAATATTTCACCCGCCACAAAAGAAAATTCTCTTTAGTGTTCAATTAACGATGAATAACAAATTATTAAAACAAGCGCCTAATTTCAAATATTTGGGTATAGTGATAGATACTAACCTAAACTTTAAAGCTCAGGTTTTGGAAATTTCCAAAAAGATAAAACACAATATCGGAGCTATATAAAAAATACGCAATTTTGTGACAATTGATATTCCTGTTAATCTATATTATTCTCTCATTTATCCATTTCTTACATATGCTCTAGTTGTTTGGGGCAACACTTATAATACAACACTGAATCCTTTAGTTATTTTACAAAAAAAGTTATTTGATTGATAACATTTTCTAATTATCAGGA